GCCTCGGGACCGTCAAGAAGCCACTCAGGACGAAGAGCTGGTCCCAGGGAAATGGTCGGGACTGGCCACCCGAGCCGCAGGCTCTCCTAGCGGGTCTTGCTGCCACTCAACGAACGTCGTGCTCATTCGCACGCGAGTCCATGGATCGGTCGCAGTTGCCTGCAGCTTGCCTGACAACAGAAGGAAAATTCAAAAATAGTCCCTCTACACAAAGAGTTACGTCGGGCGCTTGTCCCTCTACAGGAGGAAAATTCAAAAATAGTCGAAAAATAGTCAGGGGACGATTTTTTATCATGTGTTCCCCAATTTGGAGTAGTTTTGATTATTTTTAATAATTCGCCCAAGATCCGCCTGTAGGGGGACATGCCCGACCTACGTCTAGAGCTTGAACAGGCTCTCGGACCATGTGATCCCCCAGCCGTCGTTGAAACCCTTCGGGAAGCACGTGAGGAAGACGAGACTGAGGGGAAGAAGGAAAAGGAGGCAGGAGGAGGAGGAGGAGGAGGAGGAGGAGGAAGAGGAGGAGGAGGAGGAGGGGGAAGAGGAAGAAGAGGAGGAAAGCTCCAGGGAGCGTCTTGGGGCACTCTTGGAGCTTCCGGGGAGCTTCCTGAGGGCCTCTCGGAGGCCTCTTGGGGGCCTTCTTGGGTGCCGTTGGGGGCCTGACCCGTCTGCCGCCGTCGGAAGCCGTCTTGGGGGCCTCTCTGGGCCGACTTGGGGCCCTCTTGGGGTGCTCCAGGGCCGTCTTGGAGGCCACTTTGGGCGTCGGAGGCCTCTTGGGCCGCCTTAGGGCCCTCGTGGGGCCGTCTTGGGGGCCTTCTGCGAGACCATCGATGTCAACAGCGCCATTGTTCGAGGATGGACGTTGATGGCGCAGCGGGCGGGCCATCCCGTGTGGCCAGCGGGACAGGTCGAAGCCCCAGGGGAGAGTTCTCAAAAGAAGAACCGAAGCCCGACCAGCAGGGTCCAGCACGCCGGGCACCCCTGTGGCAAGACCACAAGGGGGCGGCGGATCAAAGACGCCTACGGCGAATCACCGCCGCCCCCTGCCTTTTTGGAAGCGCCTATGTGGCCGACAGTTGGGCTAGAGCTTGGCCAGGCTATCGGGCTAGTTGTTCCCCGAGTTTGTTTGGAAAGCTTTCGGGAAACGCGTGGGGGAGCCAGAGGTTTGAAATCGCCCATGTGTCCGAGCGTTGTGGCAGGAGCTCTGCCAAACTATCGAACCATGTGTTCCCCCAACAGTGGTGGAAAACCTTCGGGGAACACTTGGGGGAGGATGGCGGGGAAAATCAGGCGGAGGAGGGTGAGGAGAAGGATGAGGAGGAAGAGGAGGAGAAGGAGGAGGAGGAGGAGGAGGAGGAGGAGAATGAGGAGCAGAAGGAGGAGGAGAGGAGAAGAGGAGAGAGAGAGAGAGGAGGAGGGAGGTAGGAGGAGGTGGAGAGAGGAGGAGGAGGAGGAGGAGGAGGAGGAGGGAGGAGGAGAGGAGGAGGAGGAGGAGGAGGAGGAGGAGGAGGAGGGAGGAGGAGGAGGAGGAGGAGAGAGGAGGAGGAGGAGGGAGGAGGGGAGGAGGGAGGAGGGAAGGAGGGAGAGGGAGGAGGAGGAGGGAGGAGGGAGGAGGAGAGGAGGAGGAGAGTAGGAGGAGGAGGAGGAGGAGGAGGAGGAGGAGAGGAGGAGGAGGTGGGAGGAGAGGAGGACGAGGAGGAGGAGGAGAGGAGGAGAGAGGAGGAGGAGGAGGAGGAGGAGGAGGAGGAGAGGGAGGAGGAGGAGGGAGGAGGGAGGAGGGAGGAGGAGGAGGGAGGAGGGAGGAGGGAGGAGGGAGGAGGAGGAGGAGGAGGAGGAGGAGGAAGATAAGGAAGGGGCATCTCGGGAGCCTCTGGGAGCACTCTTGAGGCCTCCTGTGAGCTTCCTGGAGCCTCTTGGAGGCATTTGGGAGGCCTCTTTGGGCCTGTTTGGGGCGTCTGGGGGCTTCTCTGGCCGTCTTAGAGCATTCCTGGCACGTCCGATTCTGTCCGAAGCCGTCTTGGGGGCCTCCCTGGGCTGACTTGCAGGCCTCTTGGGCCGTCTGAGGGCTCTCTTGGGGGCGTCGTGGGGGCCTCTTGGGCCGTTCTGGGGCCGTCCTGGAGGCTCCTTGAGCGATCTTTCGGGGCTCTTGGGCCGTCTCGGGCCGTCGGAAGGCCGAAAAGAAGCACATGCCAAACTCCTTCAAAAACCATAGGGGAATCAATGAGTTTGGCCCTTGGAGGCCTCATGGGCCGCCTTGGAGGCATCTTGGGAGCCTCTAGGGACGTATCGGGCCATCTTGAGGCTATCTTGGACCGTCTTGGGTGCATCTTGGGCAGTCTTGGAAGCATGTTGGGGGCCTCTCTGGGCCGACTGGGCGCCCTTTTTGGGGTGCTCCAGGGCCGTCTTGGAGACCATCTTGGGCGTCTTGGAGGCCTCTTGGGCCGTCTTGGGGCCGTCTTGGGGGCCTCTTGGGGCCATCTTGGAGGCCTCGTGGGCGATCTTGGGGCGCTCTTGGGGGCCTCTTGGGCCGTCCTGAGCCGTCGGAATGCCGAGAAGAAACACATGCCAAATTCCTTCAAAAACCTAAGGAAACCCAGTGACTTAGGCCTCTTCAGGCCCTCCTCGAGGACCTCTTGGAGACCTCTTGGGTCGTGTTGGGCCGTCTTGGAGGCGTCTTGGCCGAACTTGGAGGTATCTTGGACTCTCTTGGGCAGTCTTGGACGCCGTCTTGGACCATCTGGGGCGGACTTGGAGGCTATCTTGGACCATCTTGGAGGCCATCTTGGGCCAACGCGGCCATCTTGGAGGCCATCTTGAGCCGTCTTGGAGGATTTTGGGGGGGGGATTGAGATTCCTTTCGGGTGGCCAGCTGGACAGGCCGAAGCCCCAGGTGGAGTCCTTTTGGGAAAAGAACCAAAACCAAAACCGACAGGGTCCAGCACGCTGGGCACCCCTGTGGCAAGCCCGCAGGGGGCGGCGGATCGAAGACGCCTACGGCGAATCACCGCCGCCCCCTGCCTTTTTGGAAGCGCCTATGTAGCCGAACGTTGAGGCCAGACCTTAAGCTATCGGATCATGTGTTCCCCGAGTCGGTTTGGAAAGCCTTCGGGGAACACTTGGGCATCTTGAAGGTCATCTTGGCCATCTGGAGGCCATTTTGACCCTTTCGGGCCTTCTTGGAGGACGTCTTGGAGGGCTCTTGGGACTTCTTGGAGGCCATCTTGAGCGTTTTGGAGGCCTCTTGGGCCGTCTTGCGGGCCTCTTGGGGCCGTCTTGGGCGATCTTTGGGGGCACTTGGGCCGTCTCGGGCCGTCTGAAGGCCGAAACAAAGCAAATGCCACAATCCTTCAAAAACTCAGGGGAACTCAATGATTGTTCCCTTTTCGAGCCTTCCTGGAGGCCCTCTTGGAGGCCTCTTGGGCCATCTTAAGGCCATCTTCGGCCGTCTTGGTGGGCTCCTGGTCCGCTTGACGCCGTCGGAAGCCGTTTGGGGGGCCTCTCTGGGCCGACTTGGGGCCCTCTTGGGATGCTCCAGGGCCGTCTTGGAGGCCATCTTGGGCGTCGTAAAAGGCCTCCTGGGCCGTCTTGGGGGCCTCTTGGGCCGTTCTGGTGCCATCTTGGAGGCCTCTTGGGCGATCTTTGGGGGCTCTCGGGCCGTCTCGGGCCGTCGGAAGGCCGAAAAGAAGCAAGTGTCAAAATCCGTCAAAAACCTAAGGCAAATCAATGATTTGGGCATTTTCTGGTCTTCCTGGGAGCTTCTTGGAGGCCTCTTGGGCCGTCTTGGGCCAGCTTCCAGCCAACTTCGGCCATCTTGGTGGGTTCCTGGCACGTCTGACGCCGTCGGGAGCCGTCTTGGGGGCCTCTCTGGGCCGACTTGGGGCCCTCTTGGGACGCTTCGGGGCCGTCTTACAGGCCATCTTGGGCGTCTTGGAGGCCTCTTGGGCCGTCTTGGGGCCCTCTTGGGGCCGTCTTGGGGGCGTGATGGGCCGTCATGGGGCCATCTTGGAGGCCTCGTGGGCGATCTTGGGGCGCTCTTGGGGGCCTCTTGGGCCGTCGGAAAGCCGAAGGGGCGCACATACCAGAATCCTTTAAAAACCTAAGGAACATCAATGATGTTGGCCCTTTTCTGATCTTCCTGGGGGGCGTCTTGGAAGGCTCTTGGGCCGTCTTGGAGGCCTCTTGCGGGCCTTTTGGGCCGTCGTAGACCATCTTGAGGCCATCTTGGGCCGTCTTGGGTGCATTTTGGAGCCATCTTAGCCGTCTTTGAGGCCATCTTGGCCGTCTTGGAGGCATCTTGGAGACCATCCTGGGCCATCTTGGCCGTCTTAGATGCCATCTTGGGCCATCTTGGGGCAACAGAAGCATTGACAGATGGGTTTGCCGAATGGCCGGCGGGACTGGCCGAAGCCCCAGGGGGAGCTCTTTTGGAAAAAGAACCAAAACCAAAACCGAGAGGGTTTAGCACGCCAGGCACCCCTGCGATGAATCGACAGGGGGCGGCGGATCGAAGACGCCCACGGCGAATCACCGCCGCCCCCTGCCTTTTTGGAAGCGCCTATGTGGCCGAACGTTGAGGCCAGACCTGCCAAGCTATCGGACCACGTGTTCCCCGAATCGGTTTGGAAAGCCTTCGGGGAACACGTGGGCATCTTGAAGGTCATCTTGGCCGTCTTGGAGGCCTCTTGGGCAAGCTTTGGGCGATCTTTGGGGCTTTTTGGGCCGTCTCGGGCCAGCTTCGAGCCAACTTCGGCCATCTTGGTGGGTTCCTGGCACGTCTGAAGCCGTCGGAAGCCGTTTGGGGGGCCTCTATGGGCCGACTTGGGGCCCGCTTGGAATGCTCCAGGGCCGTCTTGGAGGCCATCTTGGGCGTCTGGGAGGCCATCTTGGGCGTGTTGGAGGCCTCTTGGGCCCTCTTGGGGCCCTCTAGGGGCCATCTTGGAGGCCACTTGGGCCATCATGGGGCTCTCTTGGGGGCCTCTTGGGCGATCTTGGGGGCTTCTTGGGCCGTCTCGAGCCGTCGGAGAGCCGAAAAGGCGCAAATGCCAGAATCCTTCAAAAACCAAGGAAAAATCAATGATTTTGGCCTCTTCGGACTCTCCTGGAGGACCTCTTGGAGGCCTCTTGGGCCGTCTGGGAGGCCTCTGGGGGGCCTCTTGGGCCGTCTTGGGCCGTCTTGGACTCTCTTGGGCCGTTTTGGAGGCCGTCTTGGACCATCTCGGGCGGACTTGGAGGCCATCTTGGGCCATCTTCGCGATTTTTTGAGGATGTCCCGAGCGAAACGGCCGTTTTTTGGAGGATTTGTTTCCGGATTGAGGTCCTTTCGGCTTCCTCCCGGGACCCCGGCGGGACGGGCCGGAGCCCACTGGGGAGTTCTTTTAGAAAAAGAACCAAAACCAAAACCAGCTCATCCAGCACGCCGTGCACCCCTGCAAGCAGGGGGCGGCGGATCCAGTGGTTTTCGGCCGAACCCGCCACCGTGCCTAGGCTGTGGGTCAGAGCCTCGTGGATGAATATGAGCCCCCTCTTGGGCGCTCTTGGGGCCCTCTTGAGATTTTCTTGGTCTGTCACCAATTGTTTCCCGATAGAAGTCATCAATGCCGCAGTCTTCTGTTTCTGCTGCTTTGGCAGTCTCGACATGATCTCCATTTTCTCGGGGGACTTCGTTTTCTCAGGGGTCTGCGCAGTTACCGCGCGGACAGGGCTGCCACTCCACTCCACCTATCACCTCTGTCCCTCTCCCTCATCTTCCTTGTACGGACGCACGTATGCATGTATGCATGTATGTACGTGCGTAAATATGTATGTATGCATGTATGTATGCATGCATGCATGCATGTTTGTATTTATGTATGTATGCATTCATATATTCATGCATGTGCGTGCACATGTACGTATGCATGTACGTATGTACGCATGCGTGTATGTATGTTCGTATGTATAATGCATGTACGTCTGTACGTAATTAGGTATGTTGGATTATGCGTGTGTGATTGTGTAATTGTGTATGCGTGCATGCATATCTGCACACATGGCTGCATGTGCGTACATGTGCATGTCTATGTGGATGCATGTATGACTGTATGCGTACATGTGTGAATGCATGCATGCGTGTGTGTATGTGCGCGTGTATAGTAACGGTACGTACGCACGTATGAACGTATGTGTGTACATGTGTATGTATGCATGTATATCTGTGTATGTATATATGTAAATGTGCATGCATGCATGTATACGTATGTATGTATGCACAAATGTGTTACGTACGTATGTATGTATGTATGTATGCCCGTGTACATGCATACAAGTTTGCATGCATATGTGCATGTATGTATGCATGTACGTATGTATGTGTGCATGTATGTTTGTACATTTGTATGTATGTGTGTATGCATGTAGGTATGCATGCATGTATGTATGCATGTATGTATGTATTTATGTTTGTGTGTATGTATGTATGTATGCATGGATGGATGTATGTGTGTGTGTGAATGAACGAGTGTGTGTATGTATGTGTGCATGTATGGATGTATGTATGTAGGAATGTATGTATGTATATGTATGCATGTATGTGTCTACATTTCGGCACGTATGTATGTGTGTGCCTAGACGTGTGTGTATGTATGTAGGCATGTGTGTAGTATGGATGCGTGCATGCATGAGACGAACACATAACGTATACAGGCGTGGCAGAGGAAGTTGTTGTAGTTCGGTTGCGCCCAAATTGATGGCGAATGCCGAGGTTCCCCAGGAAGGTTGGGCCCCTTCCCGCCCCGCCGATCAGGAAGGTCAAGATCCTCGAGGAGCTCGCCAGCGTCCTCGGGCAGCTCTGCAACGACTCCGAGACGCGCAACCAGCTGTCCGACCAGTATCCGGTGTTGGTGTGCTTCATGTGGAGGGGGAGGGCGCAAGCGATAGGGGAAGGCGGGGGCGGGAGGAGGTTGTGGAAGGACAGCTTGGGGAAGCCCTGGAGGTTGTGACGATGGGGGAGGGCGTCATGGAGGGGGGGGGGGACGGGAGAAGGGGAGCATCGCGAACTCGGAAGCTTTCGAGACGGTTCCAGCTGGCTCGGGTACCCAGGTGTCAGATTTTGCTCTGAGGTCCAGAGGGCTATCCGACGATTCTGCGGGGGGGTGGAAGGGCTGGGAGGTTTTAGGCATAGGCACTCTGGGAGGACTCTTGACGGTCGTCTCTGTCTCCGATGTCTCCCCCGGGGCACGAGTCTTCTGTTGTATTGGGCGGAAGGGGCGCCCGCCCAGATGCCAGACCGAGCGACGAGCGGTTCCGTCGGTCACATAATCACCCCTATCATTCCTCCCCCCTCATCCCCCCGACTCTCATCCTACACCCCCCCAACATCTCTCTGTCTCTCTCTCTCTCTCTCTTTCTAGACGTCGGCCCCCAGAGGTCTGGACCCCTTCCCAGGGGCCGGTTTCTCATCCTGAGTCCTGTTGTGACCTTGGTAGGAGCCCCCAGAGGCCGAAACTAGCCAAACTCCTCCCGTCGTGTTTTCTTCAGAGCACGCGGGGGTTTGGGGATACCTCCTCTCTTCTCCCCCTCCCCTCCCTCTCCCTCTCCTCCTCCTCCTTCTTCTCCTCCTCCCCTCCTCCTCCTCTTCTCCCCCTCCCCTCTCCTCCCCTCCTCCTTTCCTACTCCTTCTCCTTCTCCTCCTCCTCCTCCTCCTCCTCCTCCTCCTCCTCCTCCTCCTTCGCCACCTCCTCCTCCTCCTCCTCCTCCTCCTCCTCCTCCTCCTCCTCCTCCTCCCCCTCCCCTCCTCTCCTCCTCCCCTTCCCCTCCTCCTCCTCCTCCTCCTCCTTCCTCCTCCTCCTCCTCCTCCTCCTCCCCCTCCTCCTCCTCTCCCTCCTCCTCCTCCTCCTCCTCCTCCTCCTCCCTCCTCCTCTCCTCCTCCTCCCCCTCCCTCCTCTCCTCCTCCTCCTCCTCCTCCTCCTCCTCTCCTCCTCCTCTCCTCCTCCTCCTCCTCCTCCCTCCTCCTCCTCCTCCTCCTCCCTCCTCCCCTCCTCCTCCTCCTCCTTCCTCCCTCTCCTCCTCCCTCCTTCTCCTCCTCCGCCTCCCCGTCCTCCTCCCTCCTCCTCCTCTTCCTCCTCCTCCTCCTCGTCCTCCTCCTCCTCCTCCTCCATTCCTTAGGGGTTTAGGGTCGAGGGTCCCCACCCCCAGCAGGGCCGCCCGCGCTGTTCGCGCGATAGGCCCCTGCGCTGCGGCCTGGCGCCGCCACCCCCACGCCCTGGGTCGCCCCTGGCGGGCGGCACGCCAGCGCGCTGGAGGCACGTCTACTGGCAGCAGGCCGCGCTCGGGCTCTCCCGCGTGGCATCGCCGATTGAGGAAGGCTCGCGGCTCAGCACGTCACCTACTCAGATTGGAAGCTGCCCATCAGTTGCCCGAGCAGCACCACGGCTCCGCCTCGCCTATGGAGCCCAGGTGGGCATGTCTGGCTAGTCGTCAGTGTGGGTATAGTCGCAAGTTTGCGAGCAGCGCCCGTTGCTTCAGATGCGGGCGAGATTGAGCTGGGAAGCCTGATCCTGCCAACCCACCGTCCGACAAGCAGCCAGCTCGGTCTCCAGCAGGCAGGCGGTCCAGCAGACCGCCTCGCGCAGGCAGCGCCCGACCAATGCGCGCTGCCGCCGACGAGCCTGCTGACGAGCCGCCCACTGCTTCAGATGCGGTTTCTCGCTCCCGCACGGCTTTGTCCGCCCTGCGGAGGCCCGGCCTCGACGACAATCTGCACGAACGAAATGGGCACGGAAAGAATGGGTACAATGCCCAAGAGCGGATCTTGTTCATTTTGAACAGGTCTCGCTGTCCACGCCGCCGCGGCTTGTGTCCATTCGGGACAGAAGGCCGCTTGCCCAACAGCGGCCGCTGTTGGTTTGGGACAACATTGGTTGTTGGGCGTTGTACCCATTCTTTCCGTGCCCATTTCGGGCGCCCAAAGACAACAGCGGCTTGGTGGTTGTTGCCAAGAAAGAGCTGCAATATGCCGAGGAAGCCGTCGGAGCGCCCCGCACACCAGATGATCAATTACGACGATCGTTGGACAGACAGCGACAGAAGTCTACCGAGGTCAGCGTGCTCACGGAGGCCCACAGATTGCTGCAGTCGCAATCGGACACAAAGCAGAAGGAGCTGGCTCAAGCGCAGAGAGTGAGCTCACGATCATCGATGCGGAAGTCCATGCCGCCCGTGCTGCTGTCCTTGCCACGGCGGCCGCCCCGACTCCAGGAGATGATCAGGCTGTGCCAGTGGCCATGGAGAGACTGGGGCAGATTGCCAATGCATCTCCATCAGTCACGGCGAGCAATGAGGCCACATACGCTGGCTCGCTCAAGCGGCAGTTCAACGGGGCACTTCCCTTGGTGGCTATGCAGCGGGCCCCCCGCACAGCCGTCGCCCCAGCAACAGCGGCAGCAGCGCCAACAGCGCCGCCTACACCCACGGCATGGGACGCAGCGATCCCGTCCGAAGACCGTGATGGCGACCAGCGGCCAGGGTGAGCACTCACGTCAGCCTCCCCCTCAGCTTGTGCTGTTGAGTCTTGGCAGCACCAGCTGCTTCGTCATCGCCATAGACATGCCGCGGCAAGCTCCGAATGGCGACATTCTACCACTTGGCGCGCACACCGTGGCGGAACATAACCGCGACGACGTGGCCGCGGGCGACAACACTGCAGCGCAGGCAGCTTTGGACACTTGTACTTGCGAAGGCCGTGCAGGGCGTCGTGGCCATCAGCCGCTGGTTCAATATCCTAGCCATGACCTTCAAGGGCCTCCCGGGGTTGCGGTCGAGGCGCACCTGGCAACTCAAGCAGTTTTGCGTGATGACACTGGTGGCGACCATGTCTGCCATGTTCAGCCTGACGCGGCAATGTTTGGCGCTCCCGTCCACGCTGCGGGAGATTCAGATTTCGAGTGGGGCCCAGACAGTTTTCAGCAGCATCTCAGTGGATGCGCTAGTCATTGGGTTGGTGATGTTGACGCCTGGGGCGCCATGATGGGCTATGAAGATTGGCTTTGGTGGTGTCAACCTTATGCAGAGCTGTGTGGAGGGCCCTCAACTACGTCGCCTCGCCTCCACGCCAGAGCACGTCCGAGAGCTTGCGAAGCGCCTGTGCCTCCACAGCTTCTTCGATGTGGAGGAAACATACGGGAGCTCAACCTGCGCTACCTGGACATTTACAGGGAGGACCGCGCGAGGTGGCACCAGCTTCTGACTCTTCGTCTCGGCGCAATTCGCATTGTTCGGCTCTCACTGGCTGATCAGCAAAAGCGGTCCAGGCAGATGTGGATCTTTTGGTCGCTGAGGCGACTCGTCACTTTGCATCTTCCACTGCCAGGGTTGCTGCGCGTCGGGACTGGGTCACTTCAGACGACGCACCTCCGCCTGAAGCTCCAAGGCTTCCGCCAGAGGATCATGGCGACGCTGCGATGGATGACGACACCAGCCGGACGCAGGTACGCAAGTCTGTGCTGCCACCAGACCATGGAGTTGAACGTCATCGCAGGCCCCAGCGTCCTCCGCCACGCACCACGAGATCGAGAAATAACGAGATCGGGTCGAAGTGGGAGGGGCGTCTACGGGATTGGCGGACTGTCGTGCTCCCCAAGTCAACCGATTTTGAATGCTTGGATGCAGAACTGGTTTCTGGCTGGAACGGGACTTCCTACCTACCTGGGGCGGCCCCTGCCAGCAGCTCGGAAAGCAACCGCGTGTCCTGGGAATCCTTCGCCCCGTCGTCGGGCGTCGGTGCCAAGTCTGCGCGGGGACCAGATGTGCCCGCGCCTTGCGAGCTAGCCAGTGGGCGGCCTTGCAAGGGCGCAGATGCGGCATGTAACCTGGCGGCTAACAGGCAGGTGTACGTCGCCGATTTTGCTGGGCACGCTGCGCCGCGGAAATCCCCCATCCCGTCGTCGGGCGGGCGTCGGTGCCAAGTCTGCGCTGTGACCAGGCGGGACCGCGCCTTGCGAGTCAGCCAGAGGTCGGCCGTGCAAGGGCGCAGATGCGGCATGTAACCTGACGGCGAACAGGGAGGTTGACGTTGCCGATTTTGCTGGACACTCTGGCAGTGACGTCGCCTCGTCCACTGGGCCTCGGCGCGTTCGCCGTGCTCCACGCGGGCGCCACGGGCTCACTTTTGCCACCTTCAATAGTTCAGGCTGGCCCCAGATGCAGGTTGTCCTACGGCACTGTCGAGCGTCTCTGGTCACTGGCCAAGGGCTGCATCTATTTGGTGACGAGCGTGTACTTACTGAAGAGTGGTGTCGTGAGCGGGGATGACGGGCCTTCATCAGCGATGCGACGCAGTCTACACACCAGAAGCCTACTGGTGGAGTCGGTATCTTCATTCGCTCACACATCAGCGCCGCGCCGTGGACCGCGATCGCGGAGTCACACGTCACTGTGCCAGGTCATTTGGTGCGCATGCAGGTACAGACAGGTCTGCGCGGCGGACTCATTGTTGGATCCGTATATCTCGGGCAAGGCGTATGCCTCGGAGGAAGCAGCGCAGCCCTGCTGGCCCGTCTTGGCGAATGTCTTAGGTTTTACTCTTTACCGTTCTCGATATCCAGAGACTGGAATGTGCACCCCGATTTGCTTCGCGCTTCAGAAATCCCGTTGCAGTTGAAGGCCGACGTGGCGAAGCCCACTCAAGGTACTTACAGGGGCCATGGCACAGGCAACATGTCTACATTGGATTCCTGGATTGCCAGTGGTTTTCTTGCAGCTCAGATGCCCACTCCTGATCGAGTTCCAGGATTCCCCCCTCGTCAGCACCACCCGCGTCATGCCGCGTTGGGGGTGCGTCCGGGGGATCAGTGAGTAAGGCTGCTGAAGGGGCCGCACGTCGTCCTGAGGCAGCCTCTACTAGCTACTCAGGACGCC